AGGTCGCATGGATCCCACGGAGGGGCTACGAACTTCCGGGCTTAGGCTTTAGGCTTCCTTCAAACGTTCCTTTGCGGATTTAGTGTTTTTGGTGTTTAAGGTTTAGGGCTTTTCGGGTAGTTTCGGGTGCGAGTGCTCGGGGAAGTGTTCACTTCATTGTTGGAGTGAGGGGGTTCTGATGTCGCGATGCAAGATCTCCTACACAGTATCCCTGACAGTCTGTATTAGATTCTACTTATACCCAGAAAAACATCTAATAATCGACGCCCTCTTTTTGCTGGTTTAATTCACGTGGCAATGGAGTGTACAGTGGCATCAGTGTAGTAGGAGTGGTTTTCTGCCGGGTTTGCTTTCTTGTGTTCCTCTGAAGTGCCGGAACTAACCCTAAAGGCCCTAAACCCTGTATGGTAGTTTTCTAAATTAGGGTCCCTTTTGGGGTCCTGTTTTAAGAGCGCCATAATAACGGACCCTGATATGAAGAACTTTCCATATCGTATCCCTTTTCGGGTCCTGTTTTAAGGGTGCCATGAGGGACGGGGCCCTACTTTGGAGAACCACCCATATCCTAAGCCCAGGAGTGCAGCTGGCAGCATCTGGAGAAGGAAGCGAAGAAGGCTTCGCCCTTAGTCTGTTCATGGGGGCCCTGAAGAGCCAATTGCCAATTTAGCGCTTCTTAGCCTTCAACTCTGCAAGCCTAAACCGTTCAAACCTTTCGCAATTATTTTTTGGGTTCAAGGCGGTGTACACTGGCTTGGAGTGATGAAATGTGATTCAGGGCTTACGTTTCCTTCGGTTGAGGCCGAGGTTGGTCCGGGCAAGGGCTGAGAGTTCAGGTATTGAGTGCTGGGGACGTTGAAAGATGCAGATGATTTTTGGAATTTCTATGGGCAAGCCTTTCATCTACGAGTGAAGACGAACGGCTGTTGATTTGGGAGCGGCTCCAGTGGGCAGGGGTCTGGGTGGCAAAGTGCATTGGCTGCTTCTGTGTCTTCAGCCTATGATTCTGGATTCAGCTGTCTGCAAAGACATTGGAGCTTGGGTATTTTTTTGGAGGGGTTCTGTAGCTTTAATTAAGTGCCTTAGTTGGCTTCTGCAGCTTTAGTGTCTTTAGCTGTTCAGCTGGCTGAAGCGTGGCAAGCACGAGCCCGAGTCCCCACGTCAGACATTTCGCTACAAGCCTTGAAACTTTAAGGCAATGCTGACCTATGCATTATATTTGCCCCTGAAGCCGGAATGCTTGATGTCCTGACAAATTCCATCCTAAACCTAAGACTCTGCAGAACATTAGCCCGAGATTGACCTCATGCCCATGGCCCTAATCCCTGAGCCCGCAACAACAAACCCCAAGTGAAGACGCAACCGCAAAGCCCAACTCCTTCACTACGTCTATTGTAGAACCCCACAGTGGGATTTGGGAACCCTAAGCCCTAACCCATCCTCACGGTAGGGTCCGGGAATGTGAAGTTCCCGGCAAAGGCGCGCGACCTTTCCGGAGAGCCCCTGCAGTGGTTCTGGATCATGCACCCAGAGGCATGGCTGCGGGTTATCGGGGTTACACCTTGATCTATCAAAATCTACCCTGTGGTTTAGGGTTTAAGGTTTGGGGTTTTCGTAGGGGTCCCTAAAGATGCTATATCAGGATTTGAACTGCGAGCCTACACAAAAGAGCAGGTTCCGGTTCTGAGTTTTGGAGGTCGCACTGTGCAGGAGCTAAAGGTACAACCCTGAATCCACAACAGCCCGAGCGAATCCTAATCTCGAGGCCCTGAAGACCACACATTTTATGAATCTCCGGTCTCCATGATTCTGGCCCTCGTTATCCTCCCAATCACAACCCATAATTAGCCCAAGAGCCAAAAGAAGGCGCAGCCGAAAGATGCTTTTGGCCTCTTGGTGCTATGGCTTCAGCGCGGAGCCACCGCGAGTCGGGGACCCAGCTTTAAAGCTTTAGGGTGGCAAGGGTCGAGGAGTAGATATGTCGTTTGGGCTTAGTTTGCATAAACTGTATGTGCGTAATTGAGGTGGTTGCAGGGAGTGCATGGTGATAGTAGTCAGAAGTTTGGGGCAACAGGGTCTACTGGCGCCTTGCCGCACCAAGGCCACTGTGTCATCAGCCACCTCTCCTTCCAGGCCCGTCGCTGGGAATGTATTATAGGAGCCTTAATAACTATAATATTTTGGGGGTTCCTTATGATACTTTTAGCATAATGGGCCCCCCAAAACCCTGTTCTAAGTATGAAGGCTAGTAATAGTATAGTATGGATCTTTCTGAGGATTAAACGGGGTTTCAGGGTCAGCCTTTGTACTTCCGTAAACCTAAACTCCACACTTCAACCCTGAGCCCTGAGTGCTTTTGCTGGAAGTTTTTGAAAAAATAAGGAAATGGTTGAGAGTTCGGGTCGGTCGCTCTTTTGTTTTGTCAACCATCGTACGTCGTACACCCTGAACCCGAACCCTTGAACCAACAGCTGGTGATCTTATCACAATGGGCCCCATCTTCTGGAATCTTCGCTATGTATGTACGTATGCAGATGGAACAGCAAGATCGATACAATCTAGGGTAGGAGTTGCATCAACTTCGATTGGTGGATCTCCTCTGCCGTGGCAAGGCAGCCTCACTGGCGTGGCAAAGTTTGATTCCAGGCCAGTGCAGACCGGTAAAAGCCAGTGACCTGTGCATTCGATCCCCTAAACGCAGTCAGACTCTCGCTCAGCCCGAAACCTTTAAACCCCGAACCCGAAACCCTAACCCGACATCCGGAAGCCCTAGAAGCACCAAAGCCTCAACCTTGAGAGAGTTGGGAGCCGAGAGTTTCAGGTGGACACGCTTCCGATTCCGGTGCTTTGCTATCATGACTTCTTCGGGCTTCCTAGACCGTAATCCTTCAGCCCACCCTAAACCGGCGCGTCTGAGCCTTCTTTTCTGGCGCCACTCAGTGGCCCTGTACCCAGTTTAGGGTGGATGTCCGGCTTCACTTTGAAGCCGGCTTCAGGGATGAAGAATGGAGTAGAGATGCAACGGTTTTTGTTCTGGAGTGAAACCATAATCTTGAATCCATATGCCACTTCCTGGACATTCAGCATCAGAAGCCCGAAGAACATGAAATACATGGGCTCTAGGCTTCTTTGGATTCATTGCCATCAGGGCCCCAGGCCCTAAACACCGAAGCCTTCAGTGCCTAATTTATCTATCTACCTATCTTTCTTTCTGTCGATATCTATATCCATATCTATGTCTATATCAAAATTTAAACTCTACATCTATATCTGTATGTGTATGTATGTATGTATGTATGTATGTATGTATATATATATATATATATACATATCTATATATGAGTCCACATGTTACCTATATATATATATATATATATATATATATATATATAGTATAGTATAGTATAGTATAGTATAGTATAGTATAGTATAGTATAGTATAGTATAGTATAGTATAGTATAGTATAGTATAGTATAATACAACATGATATAATAGAATATAATATGATATGCGGGCTTAGGGCACGGGTCAGGGCTCCTTGTGGTTGGAGTTGATGCGGAAGACCCGAACTGTCGAAGAGAACAGCCACGCACCCCGGGCACATGTCCTGCTGCCGTTTTACATCCGCAGACAGCAGCACGAGACAACTCCTCGTCTAGCACTCAGCAGCACATGTCCATGTTCATGATGCTTGGCGGTTGCTGCTTAGGGTTCAGGTCTCACAAATCGGGCATTGGGTTGGACCCTGAGTTTGATCACAGCAGAGTTGCAAATGCATCATCCACTCGCCCTCACCAGACTGTAGCATACAAGACATAAAGCACACGTTGACCAAAAGCAGTAAAAAGCACCGTCAACATCCCGCACCCAAGCGATCCTGAACCCCCAAGACCCTAAGACTTCCGAATAGCTTCCGGCAGAGCAAACCTTACATGGCTCTTTGCGTGATCAGCGGCTCAGCTGCAAGAATTCTAAGGACCTGAGGTATCCGACTCGTTCTCTTCTGTCCTTCTCTTACTGCCAAGTGCGGCCAGTGCAGGGACCTTGAAGCGCGGGGCTGGAGTTTCGGAGAGTGTTTTGCGAACAACCGCAGCCATCGACAGTCGTGCACGTCGTTGCATCGTTCCTGTACCACGCTGTGCACCACGCCGTGCAGAGGCTGTTATAACTGCTTTGCCTGGCTGCAGCACTATTCGTCGAAGTCTTGATGATGTCATCCGCTAGTGACAGCAACACCGACGTAGTCGCGACAGGTACTGTCAGACTAATTAAACTAGCATAACCATAGTCACAGCACGAGAGCTGACTTAGGCTTGCAGTGTCTTACATCGAAGCGAGTAGGGTTCTGCAGCTCAGTTCATGTGGTCGGCTTGAGTTCTAAATGCCCAAACCATAAGCGTATTTCCCATTGCAGAAATACATTCTACCATAAGTACTTAGGACCCTTTGGTTCTGGACCCCTGGAAATCCGCAAGTGTTGGACGAAAAGGCAGCCACGAGCTGATCTTGACATCCCGATCAGCGAGCATCTGGAAACTTGCACGCACGGATGGCTATTGCGGTTGGATTTGATGGGAGTTCTTGTTCGGAGAACAGGCTTTGCCTAATTATCGGGGGGGGGGGGCCTTCAGCCATCGGGGTCCGTTAAGCATCTCTGCCAAACTGCATCTGAACGGATTGTTCAGAGCGACTGTGATTGTTGATACGAAGTTTGCTTGCCCGACGTGTTGAAGTCTAGTCTATATAGTGCCATAAACCCGTAACGCTAAACCCATCCTCACAACAACAGTACGGATTTGTAAGTTCATCTTCGTGGCTTATAAGTTTTCATAGGCATAGGGGTTCAAAAAATCGACTCCAAAATACAGGCTGGAACTTGGTACCATATTTATGTTTTACTGTTTTACTGTTTTTCTGTTTGTTCTCTAGTACTCGTGTTAATTATTAGTTAAACCCGTAGCCCTCAGAGGCCAGCGGGCACTGCCAAAGAAGCAGAGCAGACATGCTGCGACTCGGCAGTTTGTCGCTTTGGGTGGTGAGGGGGGTCTTTGGGCTTGAATCGGTTTCGCCTTTCAGGGGTTCAGGTTTCGGGTTTCGGGCTCAGGACCTTGGTGTTTTGTGGCTTTGAGGGCTGCAGATGCCGTGGGCTGTTCCGAAGTAGACCCACATCCAGAGGTCCTTACTGTCCTTTGGTTATGCCAACGGTCGTGTAGTACTACTGGGTTTTGTAAGAAAGGTATCTTGAACAGGAGCAGAACCCACCCGGGGCCTTAGGTTGGCTCCGGGTCCAAATCCCTGATGCACATCTGGCTCCTCAAGGGTTTGTGGTTTCGGGCTTAGGGTAATCCTTACAGTAATCATCCGTCTGTGCGATCCGAAGTGACGGATTCCCAATGCCCAAACCCGCGAGTCCTGAACCCTGGCGTCGCCATTACAGCCCAAACCTCTGAAAACCCCTCACGAGATGAACACCTCAGCTCTTGCCCTTCAAGTCTAAACGGTAGTTGTCCGAAGGTGCTGAGATTGGACTTTGGGCTGCAACGTTGAACTCTACAAGTCAGATGAGGGAGCCCATACCGACTAATCAAATGCCTTCTATCTATCCTTGTTATGATAACTCATATCAAGCTCCTCAGAACCTTTCGACTCGACATCAACAAAACACCCCAATTGAAGCTACAGGGGAACGCAAGCCTCTGCCGCAGTCTGTAGAAGAGAAGAGCACAGCAGAGGCGCGAGTGCAAGTACACGCCTCGCAGCACGGCCGGGACCTCGGCGGCTTGAAGCCTACGTCCGAAACCTTATAAACCCGAAACCCTACCTAGAGGCCTCTTAGTTCCTTTTTGGGATTACCTCATAAGATTTTAAATACGAACCCGAAAAGGAACTACTTTGGGGTCTTAGGGTAAATTGGTTTGTAGTCAGAGATCTTGGTGGCCGGGGTTGCCGGTTTAGGGCTCTCTCGTTGATCTAGATAGTTGTAGGCTCCAAATAGCAAGCTTTCAGCTCTGCGCACAGCCGGTCTACGCAAGACGCTTACTGCTTGTAACGGCCCAAACCTTAAGCCCTAAATCTAAAGTCCTAAACGGTATTATAAGATGCACCGTCAAACCCTCAAGCCTAAACTTACATTGGGTTCGTGGGGAATGGAGGAATGGGGTACAACTAAAACTACTATTACTACCGTTCTTCCATTCCCTACTAACCAACGGTAAGTCAACTTCTCACTCTGCAGAGAGAAAGGGGTTAGTGCACTTTAAAGCAAAAAAAGGTAACTAAACTAAGACCCCCAGCGCCGAGATGGAGATGCTGGGCTTCCTGGGCTGCCAGCGGCCCCCTGGGCCCTGGGCCGACTTGCCGCGGACGATCTGCCGGCACACTGGGCTCTTTTTTGTTTTTGGGGTTTAGGGTTTAGGGTTTTATACAAGTGTTTTGGGGGATGTTGAGGAGGGGTTGGGGGTGGAGGGTTGTGAATTTTTCCGGTAGGTTCACGGCTGCGTAAGTCTCAGAACAACCAAACGCCCTGTATAGGAGGGCCCAAACATGAGCTCTTGTAAGAAGGAGCAGGTCTGAAGTCAAGAAGGCACTTCAAATGCATGTGGAGTTGAGTTTTCTGTGGTAGTTGAGGCATGCATTCACAGGAGATCCACATCGACCTTCACATCCGAAGCCGTGGAAACCTCGCTCGCCCACCGGAACGCCATGGCAATCGACCGGAAGACTTTTGAGAGAAACATGCCGTATGTTATGGGTCACGAGGGTCGTGTAGGTCAGCTAGCTCAGATCTTAACTGAGGAACAGAGTGTTGTACTACCTTACGCGCATCAGACGAACCCAATGTCTAAGGCAGATCGGCGAATATGTGCTGGAACCCCTCGTCTGCGAGTTCGTGGAATGGCATGTTCCCTGGCTCCTGCAAAACCTGTCCGGGTTTTTTTTGAGATGTTGCTGACTGTTCCCTCGAATTTGAGGGGCATTGGTAGGATGTTAGAAGGGATGTTAAACTGTCCGACCTTTTGCGTTGAAGTGTTCTGTCATTCCCAGAAGTGAACATTCCGCATGTGGGAACAAATCCGAGAAAACAGAGCGGGAAGCATCCACAGATTAGAGAGCCTGGTCACTGCCATCACTGAGCTGCAACTTACACACCTGAATCTCCTTGTACGAGTTATCCTTTATGTAAAATCCCGTAATCGTCGCAATCCCAGATCCCACAAAAAGATGCCGGATCGCCAGCCCAAAGCCATAGCCCCAAAAGCCCAAGGCCTAACCCTAACACCCTAAGACCCTAAAGCTGGAACCCCACACTACCGTGTTCCAAAACAAAGACAAGATGCACACAAGAACACTAAACAGAAAGCTACAAGGCCCACAAGGGGAGCGATGCTTTGGAAAAAGCATATCTTGAACACCCGAACCCTAAGAAACTAAACCCTAGACCCTAAACACTGGACCCTAAACCCTATACTACATAAAACTAAACCCTAAAATTCCCTAAACACTGGACCCGAAACCCAGTATTACATAAACCTAAACCCCAAACCCTAAATTCTAGAGCCTAAACCCCATATTACATAAAACTATATACACCAAACCTCTGAATCTTCAAAGGCCATGTCCATCGTCCGCGAGAAGCGGACGGTACTGGACTTCGGCCTCCGATTGCGGACGGCACTGCCCCTGTACAACAGCGGCCCCTTGGGTTTAGTTTTGGTGTTAGGGTTTGGGTTTAGGGTTTAGGGGTTTAGGTTTAGGGTTTAGGGGTTTAGGGTTTAGGGTTTAGGGGTTTAGGGTTTGGGGTTTAGGGGTTTAGGATTTAGGGTTTGGGGTTTAGGGTTTGGGGTTTGGGTCTCATTTCTAAGTTTCGTGGGCGGTTGGTGGAAAGGCAGGGGGTTTACGGTATCGAGTCTATCGGTTTAAAGGCTTGTAAAATGCTAGATACTGCTAACATCGTTTCTCGCTAAACGCTATAGCCCTAAACCCCGAAACCTGTTAACTCCTAAGACCTAGACCACCCTACAAACAAGGTGGGGCGGTCACGTCAGCTGTTGCAGATCACAGAGGGCTGGGTGTCAGGCTCGCATCTGGGAGTTGCAGGCCCTGACAGAAGATCCCCTTGTGTTGTCTAGTGACTATAACTCCACAATAATGGCAATAAGGCAAAAAGCCATGTAGACACCCCGTGCGCTACACACAAACCCTAAAAGCCAAAAACAAAACATGTAAAACCATGGCTGCAAGAACTTGGAGTCGGGATCAAGGCGACGGCGGTGTCGCCATCTGTGGGCCGGGTATCGAGCGATGCACAGGTGGGCTCATCAGTTTTTTTTCTGAAGCTATACTGGAGCGGCCGGAACTGTTCTCTCCTTAGCTAGCTTTATTGCGCGTCATACCCTACACTATTAAATCAGAGCTTTCATAAGGGCACTAGGTTTGTACGCGCTTTTCTGGAGCTCGCAGAGTTCTATGTCTTGCAATGGTGAGGACAAGTTCAGCCTGGGTCTAAAGGTCCAGCGGTTGGGCGTTTGTCGGGCTGATGAGAGTGCTTTCAATCTTGGCTTCAGTGCAGGGTTCCGGGAGCAGAGTCTTCCGTTTCCAAGCCTGCAGCATTCGAGTGCTTCGCGCAAACTGGCAGGCTCGTGTTTGCCGAACCTTGTTCGGATGCTGGTCTCACTGCAATGAGGTGTCAGGTGAATGCCATTGTCATTGGGATGCAGCCTACTGAAACCAGCGTTTGGGAGCCTGCACCCTATAAACTTTTGGTGGGGTTCGGGGCTCGACGACCACTGCTTTCGATCTTCCCGGCTGCTTGTCAAACTATGTCTTTCTGAATTTTGTCGATCGCATATCTGGGAGTCTCAGGAAAACAGTGGTGCACATTGAGGAGGCAATGAAACAGATTTACATGGAAGACCCGCTAAACCCTAAACCCCACCATTTGGGGTTCTGGAAGTTCTTGAGCCGCAAGGCACTTGGATCGTCGAAATGCTTCTCGGCGGAATTGGATTTGGGCTTTCTACGGTTTAGGACTATAGGAATCGACAAAGGGCCCCTCGCAGCAATATGTCACTGTGTTATAGGGGCCTTGAAAGGGGCGAGGGGCCAAGAGCCTCCAGGGCTTTGGGGATTCGAGTTGGGTTCTTGTCTAAAGTGATCCCAAGTCCAACGCATGAGTAGTATGGAAAAGGGGGACCCGTATGCGGCACGGGTAGGATACTGCAAGACGTTGCATGAGTTAGGCAGACGACTTTTTCGGAAGTATCATTCTGGGTGAGCGGGCATCAGCTAGCATGCTGTTGGATGTGGGCATCTTGGGCATAGGGCAAATCGAAAAACCCTACAACCCAACACCACAGCCTGGTCTGCCTTCAATCCTCCAAAACCGGGGTTGAGGGTGCAGAGTTCAAGGGCCCTACTAAACCTCCAAACCTGTCTTCTCTCTCTCTCTCTCTCTCTCTCTCTCTCTCTCTCTCTCTCTCTCTCTCTCTCTCTCTCTCTCTCTCTACATAGACAGACAGACGCAAGGGTCTTTTCTTCCGCCTACATGCTGGACGGCTTCTGCCGAGCTGATCTCGGCCTAACGCTTTGCAGGGAGCTGCTCTTTGGCTGCGAGTTAGAGCGTAGGGTTCAGGGCTTACGGGGTTTTGGGTTTTAGGGTTTTGGGCTCAGGGCTAGAACTGGGGGTCCCTTGTGCAACTGCAGTGCTTGCAGGGAAGTAGGCTTACGGCATTTAGGCTGAAGTGGCTTAGGCTTCTATGTTTATGCCTCAGGCATTTTAGATGTAGAGCTTGGGAAGTTGGTGCTCCGCTGAGGCCTAAAGGCCTACACCCCACACTCGAAACCCTGAATCCCAAACCTCCCCGTTTTTAGGCTTCGCTTGAACACCCTTCTCCTCCGGCACGATAGGGCCGGAACATCCTGGTTGGTACAGCCTAGAAATACACCCTCGAAACTTGTTTGTAGTTCATAAGAAGGACTAACCCGGCAACTGCCAGTTGGCCAAACTGGAAGCCGCCGAGCTCCTCCTACTCCTAAGCCCATATGCCTAAGCTCCCAAATTCGATCTACATCCCAAACGCGCCATTCCTCCTCCCTCAGGGTCCAAAGGACCCAATAATTATGTACTCGGGATAGTAGTTATGTAGGTTACTATTTTTGAGACTATATGATAGTTGGGTACTTGGGCCCTTAGGGCCTGCCAACCCCTACAAGTCATAATGGTTCAGCCCAAACCCCAGTACTCGACCCTCCCCTCTTCTTGTCAGCCTGAGGACCGAGCGGTGCGGCTCGGGTATCTGGTGGGAGTCAGGCGATGGGGATGTGTCCCGGCGAATCAAGGTGTTGAGCAGCTTTTGGGTTTAGGGGGTCTTGAGCAACATAATAGCATACTTTTTCAGAGCCCTGCAACCTATAGTAGATTGCTGGGTGGGTGGGTGCTATAGGTGTTATCATCTGTAGCAGCTTACTGAGTAGGTATCGGGACTCTTAGGGTACAGCAGGGGGCGTAGGGTTCTCTAAGGATGCGGGGTTTCCGGATTTGAGTGTCGGGCTGAAGAGATTTAGGGCTTAGGCGCGGACAGGATAGCCATTTAGGGCGTCAGTGGTTTGGAGCTTGAAGGCCACAGGGCCTACTGACGGAGGGGAGGTGCTTTATGAGCGGACGGCGAGTGAAGTAACAAGGACACGTGGAGTGGAAGTCAATTCTATGATTATGGGCTGCGGTGCCGGATACCCCAGCTGAACCTCATAGTACCCAAAACCCAGTAACCTACCGTGTAGGTAGCCTGGTCTTTAAGGGGACGCTTGGAGTCCAACTTAGGTTGCAGACTGTGATTTCCGAGAATCCTCAGTTTGCAGGAATTCACCCTTGTGCACAAGCATCCCTGCCCAGAGAGCACAGGAACCTTGGAACAGGGCCCAGTAGTGGAGGTCCTATGCGAGCTCACTTGAGCAGGGCGGCTCCCGGGTCTCGGATGTAGGGTTCACGGCGGTTTTGGGGCATCCTTGCATGGCTACACATTACGCGAGTCGCGATTGTCCATGTGAGGTCTTCATCGCTGGTGATGCAGGCCGCGACGGGGTCAGAGTAGCTGAAATGCGATGACGTATGTTGCATGTTACCATTATGTATGATATGTTCTGCAGCGCGGGGTCTTTTACATCGATGTTTGGGAGTTGCGGGGCATGAGGCGGCGTGGGCGACGGCGACTCCAAAGAGGGTGGCTGGCTCCTGAGTGGCACCTGTGTCAGGGTGTATAGGGTTCAGAGTTTAGGGTTTAGGGTTTGGGGGTTTTGAGGTATGGGATGTAGGGTTTATAGGGTTCAGAGTTTTGGCTTTGCGGATTCTTGGTATGGCACGTAGAGTTTAGGCTTAGGGTTCACAGTTTAGGGTTTGGGGGGTTTTGACGTATGCGACGTGGGGTTTAGGCTTAATGGTTCGGAGTTTAGGGTTAGGGTTCCAAAGGTTTTGGGATGCAGATAAAAAGATCCTCCATGGCTCCTCCATGCCCCCCCGCCTCAAACCATCTCCTAGAACAGCCCATTCCGCTGTCTGTAACGGTTAACCCCAAGCATCTGCACCACAACTATAAGCTGTAAACCCAGATCCTATGCCCTAACCTGCAAAGTTCTGAAGGGTTCAGCCATAGTTAGGTGCAGGTCAGTTCAAAGCACCTGAAACCCCATGCTTTCAATTGAGGATAGGTGGCGACCTCGCCGTGGAGACAGGAGTGCTACCGACTTGGTTCCAGGAGAGAGACACGTCCAGTTCTCGTATGTTTCGGGATGGAGATTAGAGCGTTCGGGTTTTGGTCTGTCGATTAGGGTTCTTTCGGGTTTGGGCTCGGCACTAGATGAACCCTTAGTCGTACAAAAACACATTGACATAGGCTCGAGTGCTTGCGTCGAGCACCACAGGAAGGCAGCAAAGTCGGCCTAGTCTTGGACACGGACCGGGCAGTGCTTGGCTTCCGCAAGGAGCTGGTGCTAGGGCTTGGGGCCCTGTATTTGGAGATTACGGTTTGTCCGTTCCGTTTGTGAGGCTGCGGTTCAAGTGAATGCAGGGTTTCATCTTCCACTTTTGACGTCTAAAGGGTCGTGCATCGGAATATGTTGCAGTTTATTCAGCGGTCCCTCCATCTTCATCCCTGATCCCAAGCCTAATCCCCAACTCCTGAACAGCCGGTGGCACCCAGGATGGATGTCTGCAGCATTTCGAGTGGCAGCTCAGCACAATCTTGCAGCAGCTAGCTTGGGGTGGTTATGGTTGAAACCGCAGGGTCTTTGCGGGTAGGCCTTGGACAAGTTCCGCTGAGTTTTCACCCGAGGGTTCCCTCAAGTCCAGAGCCTTCTGCTTTCTTTCAGCTGTTCGGGAGAAACTGCGGAAGACGGGGGTAGGTGAGAGAACTGTGTCCTCACATGTGGATTTGGGGTTTAGGATTTGTTCAGCATAGCCTTACACCCTCATTGGCCGAAACTAACTAAGTCATTGCAGGTCCGTGCCATCACAGGCATGGCCAGTCCACTTCGGCGTCAGCCGCTCGTTGAAACACCCTTCGAAAAAGGGCATAGGGTTTAGGGTACCCTAAACCCTAAAACGGGCCCCGACAGATTGAAAAGAGGCCCTTAAAAACAACAACGGGCCCCGAACATCATCACTGAACCATAAATCTCTGAGCCCTACATCCCCAGCCTCAAGCTTCGGTGGTGGGTTGGGTGTGGAAGTGTTTTCGGAATAATCTAACACTTTCGTTCACGTTGTCGTATTTGCAAAGTTGAAGTGGGGAGTTCGCTGGAGGAAGGCCTGCTGAAGCCTCATTGGATGCCGGCTGTCGAGTTTATTCTTCAGATTTTGGGCTTCAGGGTGCTGACCGTGATTTCTGTTGACGCTGGTGATAGGCATGCTGATGCTACTTGTGATGCTCTGATGATGACGATGATATCATTGATGATGGCACTGACGATGACGATGGTGTTGGTGAGGTGGCGTCGATGATGGCGAGAACGGCGGTGACCTCTGTGATTCGCCTGGTTACAGTTGGCATGACAGATGATGCTGTTGCTAGGGTAGCTTTTCTGGGGCTCCGGCGCGTTCTCTGCCGGCCTTTGCAGCAGGAAGAGTGCCCCAACCCTAAGCTTCGACCCTTTTAAAACCCCGAAGCACAAAATAAAGAGCCTCCAACCCCCAAGCCCTGAATGTTTAGCCGCTTTAGCTCCTCAAGGCCCTATAGGCCCTAAATACAGAATCGCCAGACTCCACACCTTGGGCCCTCAACACAGCTACTTCTCCCCCTCGTAGTTCCTTTAAAGGGTTCCTTAAAGGGGTCTATAAATGGGTCTATTAATGGGGTCTATCGTATAGTATAGGGGCCTTAATACCCCTCACCTTGAACCATCCTGAACCCGAAAACTACTCCTGGGTGAGGCTGGAGCGCAGACACGGCCGGCCGCTTCCGACTGCTTCGCCTCGAGCGGTTTTCCCTTGGTGGGGCGGAGGCAGAGGGCAGCTGGAGTTGGGGTTGAAACTTTCGGGCGCAGGGTTCACAGGGCTAAAGGTGTTCAGGTGTCAGGGTTTAGGTTTGCGGGGTTTCGGGTTAATTCAGAAGGGTTTGGGGTTGAGGGATCCTTAGGGGTTTAGGCTGCAGAGCAGGGATCCGGTTCAGAGGGGTTTGGTTCGTATCAGGTTTCCTTGAAGTGGAAACTATAAGGGTGCTAGAGGGCTTTAATAGTGTAATTCGTACAGCAATAGCGGAGGTGCAAGAGGGTTCCGCACGTAGGGATCCTTAATTCAATGGACATCTGGATTCCAACAGTCTACACGTATCGATGCAGACGTAGCCCTAAAGCCTATGTGTTTGCTTCATGATACCCGTATCAAGTATCATTGAAACGTTGTTCCCTTCTTCAGGTGTTCTTTAGGCATGAGGGCTTGGTAGACCAGGTCGCGGGGTTCAGCTTGAAAACAAGGTCTAGCCAACCTTTTTACCCTAAACCCTGAACCCCCAGACCTCTAAACCCGAGTGTAATTGCAGAGTCTGAAACCCTGTGCTGCTTCAACCTTCAGCTTTATTCGAACTTGGCCCGCGGGTGGCGGGTTTCGGAGGCAGAAATAACGAGGGCGCTGCTTCACGCCTGCAGCAGGCTTGCCGTGGCATCGGGGGCCGCTTTTGGGATTGGGAGTGTACCCGAACGGAAAGCCCGAACCGGGGACCTCTGGGGTTCTACAAGGATGCAGGAACAAGACGGGGAGCCCTATAGACCCTCTGCTGTTCTACTTGATGACCGGGGGCTTCCGCAGAGGTTTCCAGTGGGAAGATGCTGAGAAGGTGCATGATGTTAACATAGGAGCTTCGGTGCCCAGAACAGGGCTTGGGGGCCTATGATACGTAGTACATCGAAAGGTACTGTAGGTAGAGTCTATATGTGTTACGACCTTTATTTCGGAGGCAAAGGTTTAGGGCGAACGGATGCCAGTGGCTAGCGACGTAGGAATCTCGGTGTTGGGGCGAGGTTGACTTGTGTTCACTCCAGTGACTAGGATTGCTCCCTGTCTTTGCCTCCGCATCCTTCAGAGGAATGATGTCGCTGGGGCGGTCGCTGCCGCACCTCGCCAATCATACAAGGGGCCCCCAAGCCAGGGAGCCAGCAACCGGGGGGGAGGGGGAAGGGCATGGTACCTCTCCCTCTGACGTAGGCTTCATCATTGTGAGTCTGCCGAATATCTTATTATGGTCTTCGCGATCGATCATCTGTGTTCTTCTGCAGCGCTTTATCTTGTGCCGTCAGTTTATTATTTCTTCGCGGTTGACTTATGTTTGTACATAGATACACATGTACATGCAGCATACACTTCCGCACATGCACACATGCACACAGATTTGCAGACACAGACACACACAACACAGACACAGACACAGACAGACAGAGACAGAGACAAAGACAGAGACAGACAGAGACAGACAGAGACAGAGACGGAGACGGAGACAGAGACGGAGACGGAGACATAGACAGACAGACAGAGAGACAGAGACAGACAGAGACAGACAGAGACAGACAGAGACAGACAGACGGCACATACATGCATACGTACATGCATGCATACATGCATAGAAAGTATACGTACATACTTACTATACAAATTGCTTCGGAGGAATATTGAAATAACCGGGAGCACCACCCAAGTTTGGAGAGATCATGGGCAACTCGTGGTAACTCGAACCGGGGTGTTTACAAACTTCAGGTCTATCATGTAACCCTCATTTACCCAGGCCCCTAGGGTTATGAGGCACAATAGTCTTTGTGTGCTCCTCACAGCAACACTCTTGCCCCAAATCCGAATACCCAAACCCTGAATCACTCCGAAAGCCTAGACCCCAACATCCATAGGCTCGCAGACACCTCCAAAGTGGGGCAGTGACTCCTGAGGCCAAATGCCCCAAGTCTGTTTAGGAATTGTTCGTTTACGGCGTAGCAATCGTAGTGGTAGCAGCCGTAGAAGTTGCAGGACATCTTCGAGGTGTAGGGGGAGTCCTGTGAGCCATATGACAGGGCTTTTCAGCGATGGTTCACATGTTTGTACAGAATTGCTGGGGTCACTATGAAGAGTTTGGCCCACCGTATTTGGTCCACAGTATGAGGCTCTTCTTGGCCGGCCACGATTTGGTAGCAGTTTGCCACAGCAGCTATAGCAGCTATGGCTTGAGACCAGCTATGGCTTTAGGCGATACCTAAATGCTCATGCTGGAAGAGAACACATCGACGAGACCAGACCACACTTGTTTGTTTTTTGTGCTTGTTTTATGGACTGACCAATGGTTAAGCGACTTATGAAGATCGCAAAACAAGACACATGAGGATAATCCTTTTTTGTTTCTGATTGCAAACAACTACGATCACGAAGGCGTCACATGGCCGGGATGCGGAAGCATCGACTGCCGTCAGTAGCATGCAAAGCAATATAAGGCATTAGGGTATGTGCGGCATGTCGTCCCAAACGCCTTTCTAAGCGCAAGCTGGCTCGGAGTCCATGAGTTGTCGCGACAGGTGCTTGCGGCGGTTGCAGAGGTCGCAGGCAGAGAAGCTTGCGAGGCAGCAACCTCGGGCTTGCCGGGTTTAGGGTGCATCAGAGCTGTAGATTCACGGTGTGCGGCCGGCGACTGAAGGCGTGATAATTAGAGCGTTTCGCAAGGTGGTACAGCGCCAAGCGGGGAGTGTCAGTGTGCTTAAGTTTGGCGGTCCAGTTTGGATCGTGGGACATGTGAATATGAGGTTCAAGGAAGTTTCGAAGCGTGCAGCTTTTCTAGGGGAAGTTTGACTGCGTATTCAGTAGAGTCCGTGCTGAAGCGGTTTTGGTGACTGCAGAAGAGGCCTAGGGGGGTCCTCGAGAATACGGTGAGTGTACATACTGGCTTCTCTTTTGGGGATTAGCAATGGAGACTCTGTTTCTGATGGAGGATTTCAGTGATTTTGAACGTAGCTTAGACCCCAATCAGGACCCGAGTCGCGATGTTGGGTGTCCTTTGCTAGCTGTCGACCACGAAGGTTCGCTTTCCCGCTTGAACGTCGTAGTCTGAAGCCGGATTCGCATTCCTTCGTTAGCAGCTTCAAGCCTGGGATGGCGGATGAGATGCTGGCATTGATGCTGGCATGATGACTGCCCTGAGCAAGATGAAGGGGAAGATGAGGAGGAGTGTGATCAAGATGAGAGGACTGTGGCAATGGACCACGGTGCGAGGATCGTGGTGATGGCAATGACGACAGCGAACATGATGTTGACAACACGACAAGACGGCCACTAGGAACAGCAGGCAGAAGCGATGTTATTGCTGCAAACTAGCAGATACCAATGAAAGCTCTAACGGTGGCGCTTGGTCTAAACACGTCTCAACCATAAACCCTTACAGCCCTTACCTCGAATCGGCAAATCCTTGACTGTAGCCCTTACCAAGCTCCGAAAAAGCTTGTGAACATGTAGCCCTAACCCCAAGCTTCAAGGCTGTGCTGTCGACGTTGTGTCGCGGACCGCTTCCGCTTACCGAAGCCCTGGCTGTGCCCTTAACAAGGCCAAGTTTGAGACGTGCCTTTGAGGGTTCTTGGAATGAAGGCTTCTATCAGGGATTCTATAAGGGTTCCACCAGGTTCCGTGAAGCGGGCGTTTGCGGTTTAGGGAGTACTCTTACCAGCAAGGGTTTTTTCAGGGTTTTATAGGTTGCTTATAATGGGGCTTTATGAAGAGACACGGTGTTTTCGATTTCTTTATATATGAAGGTGTCATATCGGTTTCTATCAGGGTTACAGGGGGCATAGATTTGCCAGGTGTCCATAACGGTTTCTGGGAGAGCACGGGTCGCAGCAGCGACTGTTCCAAACCATGCTCCCGTTTAGGGCCACAAAGCCATTCATTAAAGAGCTTAATTAAGGGGAACAGGACAATCGGAGCTTCAGCTGAAGGGTCGAACACATATAGCAACACTACCCAACAAATCTACCAGAACTCCTGCCAATGGAGCGCCGGCAGGGCTCTCCATTGAACTTTCCTTCAGGGCAATGGCCAAAAAGCTAGGAACCACGCACCTTGAGTTAAACACAGAGACTTCATCCCTCCGAAGTAAGGTATGACGAGTGCTGACAGTTTTTGCATTTATGACAAGCAGTCTGAGGCATGGTATGACCGCCTAGAGTTCGGAACCAGCTCAAGCAGCCATGGAAGGAGCGGTCGCGAGCGTGTGGCTCTGCAGCTCGCTCCATGGACGTCCGACATTGCCAGCTTCGCGTGGGCCCCGATTCGGAATTCAATTTCACCGAAAGTGTGTAAGTGCCAAAATATTTTGTGTAGGGGACTCAGTAATTACCAAAAACCATTTTGGGGGTTCCTTATTATGACCATAGCATAATTTACCCCCCAAACCCTATCCTATATTGGGTACTGTCGGTCCTGAGAGACCAGACTACGCTGGCATCTAGACCCTCTGGGTCGAATCGACCAAGTCGTTTTCATTGTAATGATGTATCGTCGTTTGCGTCGTTTTATTTTTGGGAGATCAATTGTTGGACCGAACGCCTTTTCATATGCTGGAACACCCAGTCCCCCCACCCTCTTCCTCGTAGACTCGAAACAGAAGTGAGCCGTGGGGTCTCCTCCAGAGCAGCAAAAAGTATTATAAGTTTAAAGCATGGTAGGTACCACGCGTTGCAGATTACAGACGGTTGCCGATAGATTGAGGCATTGAGGTGCTTGTTGATGCTACGATAGCTAGTCGGCTAGTCTACAGTTAGACTACCACACTAAGCTCCTTCAGCAGATGATCGGACTCCTACAGGATCTGGCGCTCTCGAAACATCTTCCTGGCAGCCCGAGCTTCCGTACGCGCCTGGCGGGACGCTGCTTTGACAATATGAAGGTGTGTTTCAATGTGGGAGTTTCCGAAAATGAGGGACCCTAATATAGTACCCTAAATAGTAGGATCCTTACTATAAGGACCCCCCAAAATACGGTACCCCTTACGGCAACTCCCATGTCCATCATGGCAGCAGCCGGCTGCAAGGTTCAATCCTCCACCATCAGGCTGTGTTCAGATTTTGTTTCAGCTGTTCCGCTCTCAGGCTGTCAAGCTGAAAGAGAGACATTCATAGCGAGAAAACACTGCTGCTGGGTTTGGGCTCTTGTTTCAGGGTCGATGCGGAGCTTTTGTTTCGTGATGTGCCGCTTGCAATGCCGGGTTCGCATGATTCCTTTTACGTAAAACACCGATACGCTTTGTTGGCGAGCCTAGGCTATCCCCGCTTCTGGCGAAGGTGGCTGAGACGAATCTGCTGGTGCAGCGCCGGCTGAAAAAAGAGCAGGGAATGCTACAGCCGAAGCAAGAGCCAGCGCTGCTCCAGTCTGGAGAGTCTGCTTTGTTTTGTGACTCTCTCTCCTTCCCCGAGAGGTATAGACAGGTAGACGGAGGGAAGGCAGAGAAGAATGCGGAGAAAGAGGCAGGCAGAGAGGCGGAGAGAGGTAGAATCGAACACCTCGTGGCGTACCTCTAATCCAACATCTTCCTGCATATGAGACAACTTCTATTATTGTTTTTCATCTACAGATTCAACATATTACACCATAGCTTCTACAGTGTTATTCTACCGATTCAACATATCACTTTAGACCGAAACCATAAGCCACCTCAAGCCCGTTTTGCTAAGCCCTCTATTGCACTGCTGAGGCGTCCTCGAGGTCCTTCGAATTCAGCTCTTCGAGGTTCTTCCGATCAGTGCCCCACGATGGTTTCGGGTTTGCGATCTTGGGTTTTGGGCTTTGGGTTTAGACTTTACAGCGTGTAATGAGAGGGTCTAGTGCATCGGTTTAGGGCTTAGGGTTTAAGCGTTCGAGGTTACTTTAGTCTTTATCTCTGAGCACTTGTGGATTTAGGATTTGGACATCCGGTGCGCGAAGGCTGCATTTTTTAGTTAGTCGCGCACTTCCGTCGCATAGGATCTACGATGCCAAGGGGTTAACTTCTCTTTTCGGAGTGGGCAGGTTGGCTTTGTTTCGGGTTTAGGGTTGAGCCTGCATAGAGTTTAATGACCATGACCTCCAGCACTTCAACGCTGAAGCTCGCTGCGAACAGAAGCTCTGCAACCCGTGGACCCTCAGCCTTACGACCATAAACCTGCGTAGACCAGCATACCCTGAGCCCCGGGCTTGCAAACCAAAAAGCCCTACTGTCCCTAAACCCATAAACCCTGAGCCACTAACGTTCGAAGACGCTAAACGCATCCGTAGTTCCCCGAGAACCAATAGGGCCCCAAACCCAAAATCCCCAAACCTCTAAGCCCGAAACTTGTAAGACTCTACCGGTTTCCAGGTACGATACGAGTGACGCTATGGTACTCCCCGCAGGAGGACCATTGGGATAATTTTCCTGCCGGACCAGCCTCAAAACTCAAAGCTCTCAATGCAGGATGGGAAGATGGTTCTGGACAAAGCAGCCGAGAAGTGCTTCAAACAGGCAAGCCAGCTCCTGCATGGAGCTTTTGTTGGGTAGTTCCAGTTAAGAAAAGTGGAACCTCACTTCTCTTACCTTTGGTTAGTAGGGAATGGAAGAATGGTAGTAATAGTAGTTATTATAATTGTGCCATATTATACCCCATTCCTCCATTCCCTACTAACCAAAGGTAAGTTATAGGATTATGAAGGCCCCCTATATTATAGTACCCTTATAGATCCCTTAAAATGCCTTCCTGACCAAAGGTAAGTTCTCAGGCCTTGCCAGAAGCCTTTCTGCGGCTCGAACGGGTTCGCTTTCTGGATTCGGGCTTAGGGTACTGTTGGGGCTTCAATTTTTAGCAAGATTATGGCGGGGGTTACTTATTATGTTTATAGTAAAATGGAACCCAAATCCCAGTTCCAATTATTAAGGCCCCTATATAATGGCCTCAGCCTCAGCTTCATCACGGAAGGCCGGCTACCGATGGTTTCAGCTCGCCAACAGTTCGGATGGCCGGAGGGGACAGGTCATGTGCCAGAAGCGAAACCAGGACCTGGTGTTTGTGGGGTGCTTTGGATTTCTACACAGCTGGTGTAAGGCTTAAGTGGTTTTAGAGTAATTTTGTTTTTCGGGATCAGCAAGAGGGGTCTACGAAAGTCTGCACTTGGGGGCAGCTTCGAAGGAGCGCGATGCTCGCGCCCCTGCGGACCCGGCAGACTTGCGGCTTGTCTCAAAGTTCGTGCACATGAGAGATTCGGAGCTAAGACTTGGGGTCTATAGTGTGTTGAGTTTAGGGCTCATAGCGTTTCGAGCATATAATTACAAGGTTTTGGGTTACAGAAAGGTGAGCTTAATTTTGGTGCAGGGTTGACAAAACAAAACAATCAATGATTCAGTTCTGGTGTTCGGGTTTAGTAAATTGAATCCAGTTTCCGACAAAGGATCGAAATTTCTGTGACGGCAGGAAATGTGAGATCTTTCAAGCTTCTGCAAAGTCTTCGTACTTTCAAGGTTCTGCAAAGCCTTCGTATGCAACTGAAGGTTCTTGTAAGATCTTTTCTCCAGGGTTTCAACAGGTGAAAGTCGCTAATAACAGGGATGTGTGATGATGACCCTGCTTTATATTACTGCACAGCCAGGATTATGGCATGTGCAGTAGTTCTTGTAGTAGCCCGACTAGACGCCCGGTAGCAGCCCCCCCCATACCTTATCACATAGCCCTGGCTTTCTTGAAGTCTTGAGGAGCCTGTCCACTTGCCTGCTGGTGTCCCGACAGCGCCAGGCGGGTTGTGCCTAGAGCTCCCCAAAAGAACCGCTTGGGAATAATTACTGCAAGCACCCCTGAACTCCAAATCCGAAGAGTGGTTCAAAGGAGCAGCGGTTGCTGTTGGGGCCGTTTCGATGGTTGGCCTCGTCTTGAGTCTTGAAAGCGTGGGTTCCTTTTTCGAGGTCTTCTTCCGTCCATTTACAGAAGGGCGGGGGTTTCTGCAGCTCAACGACTACTCTACGTCCTAAGCCCTACACTTTACATGGTATCCCTTAAATCCAGCACTGTCCTACACCATGCACCCCAGACCCTCGCCCCCAACCCTCCCTCTCAGTGATCCATTTATCAAAAGCGCTGTGATAGAATTGTATAAACTTCCGAGACCAAACCAACTCCAAGGATCCCTCTGCAGAACTTGGTTCCATTTTCTCGAGCTACGAGTTCAGCTGGGAAGGTTCCCTCAATTGTATGGGTTAAAATGGGTTGCAGCGAGGGTTTGGCATTGCTGGATTCCAGGAAGTGTAGGAAGTCAACCTGGCCCCCCTGCGATAGCATCGCAAATCCCACTAGCGGACCGTAGCATAGTCCACCCCAAGCCCTATAAACTCCATTTGAGCCATTTGAGCCCTACAAGCCCGAAATTATGATCAGCCCTAAATGACTATAAGTCCTAGGCCCTGAACTCTAAGCTAAGTTATGCTTACCTTTGGTTTAGTAGGGAATGGAAGAATGGTAGTAATAGTGGTTATAATTGTACCCCATTCCTCCATTCCCTACTAACCAACGGCAAGTATGAGCCATAAGCCTTCGTCCTAGTCGCCCAGTTCATGCACCCCTGAAGCTTTAGGAAGCCTAATCCTGGAATACAAAGCCTGGCACATCAAACCCGATATCTAAACCAGTCTGTAGTACCAAAGCCGCCTAAACTACATTGCGCAGATGGTGGAAGAAGTCGGGCCAGTGGAGGTTTCAACAACTCCTGCATGGGAGGGTGTGATTTACACTGCACAGGGAATCCTCGTAAAAAGCCTGTGCCAGTGGTGTTTGCGGCAGTGAGGAAATTCAACAGGGACCCTGTAGAGAGCAGTTTCTATAGGTTTTGTGTGTCAGCGCATAGGAGCACAGCGCTACACAGGGTTACGGGATCTGGGCATCGTTCTTGGGACTCGGGTTCGAAACCACGGGCCAAGTCTCATGCTGAAGAGGCTCGAATACGGGCGCCGAGTAGCCTCCGGACTATCAATACGACGATTTGTCTACTTAGTCTACTTGATTTCCTGGCATGCCTCAAAGGTAATTCTGAAAGCAAATCCGTCGAGTGCAGAGCCAAATGTCTCAGGGACTTGCCACCAAGGTTGCATACAATGGGGCCACGGAAGAGGAATGGAAGAGGAATGCATATCAGGGGGACCTGTCAACTTGGGCCCCAAACCAGCGTACCCAAATAGTTCCATCCAACTCATCACAGGGTCCTTCAGTGATACTGGAACTTCTTCATTTCTTCGCACAGATCAAGCAGGTCAAAGTTGGGATTTCAAGTACCTGTCCAATAGTGACTAGATCGCTCATTCCCATAAAGGATGCTGGAAACCAAAACCGCGGACACCCCGCCAACGCGGCGTTATCATGGTGGGGAAACTAGCAGCTGCCGCCAGGCCCCCTGCAACATCCTCGTGGGGACCTGAGCTCCAAGAGGGTTGCCTTGGGTGTAGGGTCGACTTAGGGTCTTTCATGTTTCTGCTCAAAAAAAGAATAAACAAACTTACAGCTTCTTTGTTGAGTGTTTCCTATTCTCTAGCTTCAAGAGAGTTTCGGCTGTTCAAGAAGCTCGTGGTGCACTGGATGTGAACAAGCTTCATTATCCTCTGTTCGTCGAAGGACATGGGTCTGAGGATCTAACATTTGTAGGTACGAGCCGGTGCTACGTTGGTTTCACGTTTGGGCGGCATCCGAACAGGAGCAAATGCAAAGTAGTGGCTGCGGGCATTGTCGCAGACGTCTTTCGATGTCACAGGTAGGACTTCAGGAGGCGCAGGCTTCTGCTGTCTTACTACGATGTACGGTAACATGATGCTCTAACATACGTACTATAATCTACTGGAATATACTACCTTGGTGTACGATACTCTATCTGTTGGAATTTACCATACTCTAGTGTAATCTACTCCAAACCATTCCAAACCCGTGAGCCAAAATCTTTATGTACCCCTGCCCTTCGTTGCACGCCTGCGTATATAGACCTTTTGCCACAGGTCCTTGCAGAGTGTTTGCGGAGACATTGTGCCGCACCCCAAACGCTGCAGGCCTCCAACGACGGATTCGGCAAAGTTTGCGGGTCAATCCGCGTTAGGATCCGGGGCTTGGAGTTTTCATAGCTCAGCATCGGGGCTGGGGGAGACGGAAAGCATATCACCCGTAAACAAGCCAAGAAGAAGTCCCCCAAAACACTGCCGACGTCGGCCTGTGAGAGGGATTGGATTTGTTGTGGGGTTTAACTGGGGATTACTACAGGTCTGCAGCGCCTTCTGGCAATGGAAGAAGAAGAGCTCGCGACACCGAAAGTTTAAGTACCGGTAGGACTTTACTGACCCTAAACCCGAAACCGTATAAGACTCCAGGCTTCCAGGGCTTCTAGGGGCTCGGGCCGAAAGCTGCTGCTACGTATTGGGACCTTTAACCATCGAAGCCTAGGCCTTACCATGGAGGTTCTGTTGTCCGCTGTGTTGTGCTACCTCCACCGCCCGAATTCCTGCCTGCAGCAGTTGGCAGGGCGCAAACTCGAGACACAGTCGCTTTATTTCTTCTTGAACTGAATCGTAAGGAGCCTGGAGAATTGCAATAGGATTTTCGAGTATCCGAAAATAAGATTTTAGCAAGGAGCCCTGCCAGTAACAAGTCTCATTGGTAAGTATTCAGGCTTTTGTACTGGGCCATGTTGATCCTAAGCCCCACGCTACCTAGCAGCCCTCTGGAGGGTTCAGGGTTCTTCGAGCTTCGGGTCTGGGCTCTTAGAGTTGGGCCATAGTGTTCTCAAAGGGGAAAAGGAGGGACCCTTGATGGGGACCCCTACCCTATAATGTGCCATATAATGAGTATGCCATAGCTATATTATGGGTATATGCCTAGGGGTCCTTCTTAAGGGTCCATCCTTTTACCCTTGGATGTTCTCAATGTGAACCTTGTTGTTGTGAGTCGATAGAATCACATGCCAGGCCTCGAAGAGCTCTTCGGCGGTGGAGCTGCTTCAAAAACTACATCGGCGTGAGGCGCCCCTTTGTGTCTCTTTAGGGCTGCGGCTGTGCTCAGGCTGTATGGGTGTGGGGCTTCATGGCCTTTTGTGTAATGCAGGCTCAGGGTTTATAGGGTTTAAGGCTATAGGGTTGGGGATATTTTTCTCTGTGAAATCATGGGGCCGAGGTTTCGAACACAGGCGCTGCCTGAGCAAGTTCTGATCTTGTTTCCGTGCTTGCAGGGATCAGATATCGCTGCTCATAAATGGGCGTTTCCAAAAATAGGGGACCCGAATATAGCACCCTTAATAGTAGGATCCTTATTACAAGGGCCCGTACATAAGGTACCCCCTTCTCTTCGGAAACTCCCAGATTCTTGCCACCGCTGCGATCGAAAGACTTTCGACAGTTGCAAGACCCAGAGCCCCAAGAATCCTGAAAAAGTACTAGACGCAACACTGTTACAATTCTTAAACCCAAACCCTAAAAGTTATGTAGCTTTGAAGAGCAGGGGCGGACTAGCTCCTTTGAACTTACAGAGTCTGTGTAGAGCCATCATAGAACCCTTTTCTACAGGCCCTTATGCAACCATTGTGGGATATTCACCATATATATGGGTAGTTGTCAAAATTATGGTCCCTAATTGGGGTACCCTAAATATTAGGTGCCGTAATTATTATAATAAGGACCCAAAAAGGGACCCTAATATTGACAACCACCCATATGGAGCTCTAGCAGCCTTTTTTGAGCCGTTCTGCAAAGCCACAGGACGGCATCTATACGCAAAGAGGTCCGCGACACTCGTACCCCAAACAACAGCTAAGGTATGTAACACTTACGGTCCTTCTGCAATGACACAGCATAGAAGTGCCATCACACAGATCCCTATGCCACTCATTTAGGAAGCTTGTACTATCTCTTGTCGTAATGGAATAGCCTTTGTAGTTGCCCTGGAAATACCCTAACCTAAGGGCAAATTCGCCTCTGCAGCCAAAGAGGGCGCCGGGGTGGGCATCGTGCGGACGAAAGCTTCATCCACTCCGAAGGATTGGGAGGACACCTGACCAATACCAAAGCCCTGCTCGAATTCTTCGGGCCCTTATTCTGGGTGTAGGGTTTGTGGTTTAGAAGTCCTGCACTCTGTTGCGCCTGCATAGATTTCGTAACCGTGTGTAGGGTCGTGAGTGCTAGTTCCGTTCCGATGCTGGGCTGGGAGCATGACTTCAACTTGACTACTCCGACCTTGGACTATGATTTCGCTTGCAGCGGGCATTTTGCTTCAATTCGTAAGCTACAAGATTGTTAGGAATTCCGTGTTATACTATTATGTAATCTTATGTAGTGTAATACCCCTGGACCCCGTTCCAACTATTAGGGCCGCTACTTGATATCGTGACAGTGCTCCCTACGCTCAGCGGGGGCTTCTGGGTGCCCAAGCGCAGGTAGCTGGTTCTTGTTTCCGTTATGTTTTTTTTTTTTAAGTATGTCGGCAGGTGTTCCGCATGATCACTCCGGAGTTTTAGACCCTAAAGGCCCTCAGCCCTCGTGAATTGGTTTAATTTTACAAAATTTAGACCCTAAAGGCTTTAAAAGCCCTAAACCTGAACTTGCTACATGCCCCTTAGACCTATAGAGCCTCTGAAGTGGAGGCTTTCTGACGCGGGTTGGAGGATCCTTAAAGCTGAGTGTTTGGGACTGTAGCTCCCCTTGGGTTTAGGATTTTTGTTTCAGGGTGTAGGGTTTATAATAGGATTTAGGATTTAGGGTTTAGGGGTTGATTGGGGTCTGCTAGTGGACTGCACTTCAGGAGTTCGCGGCAGAGTGCCTGAAGGACTCGTGAAAGGGCGGGCGGACGTGTTGAAATCGGTCGCAAGGATCAGCCCTTAGTCTCGTATCTTAACCCTATTCCCTTATTAGGATTCCTTATAACCGCAATTCTGAATTATTTAGCTACATGTGATAATAATAATAATCATAATAATCATAATCATAATAATAATAATAAATATAATAATAAATATATATATATATATACATATATATATATACACATATTTATAGATATACATGTATATTACAACCCGCATAGGCATAAAGACAAAGATCTGGAGCCCACGCCTTCAAGGCGAGCCTTTCGGATATCAGATTCTCAGCTGCTAGTCCTGAATCTCTTGACTGGAGCTCCCAGCAGCCCGACTCAACCGACGGATGTTGCTAGAAAACCCCTGGAAATGTACCTGCTTGTGTCTACGTACATGTTCTGTGTCCATGTAAGTATATGTGTGTAAGTGTATGTAAGTATGTATGCAATGTGTATACATGGAGATATGTGCATATGCATAGGCGGATATACACACATACATACATGCCGCTAGTGGCCTATGCGGAATTATGTGGATGCCACGGCGAGATCCGCAAGAGTGTCGTAGCAACAGCGAGGACGTAGAGGCGCCACAGAGCTTGTATTCTGGCTGCGATTAGAATGGCTTCAGGGTTTTTGGGGCGAAGGAATTCAGGGGGGATCCAGGTGTAGCAGTCATGGGCGTTCAGGATTTCCTGGTTGAGGCTTAAGGGCTGTGGAAGCTTCAGCAGAGGTGGCCGGTCCACAAGTTGATGCTTCCATGTCGACGTGTACTGTTACTATATTATTACTATTAGTATAATAGTATTCTGAGATTATTGTATATACGATATAATTAAAGCCTGAGTGGACGAAGCCCACCAGGCGGACACAGAGACGATGCGAGTCATTGCAACATATGCGCAAAGCTGGTCTGCAGTCCTAAGCCCATCATGCGTGAGCCGGAAGCCCCCTATTCCGAACTCCAGAACCGTTTCAACCTGAATGCAAGACCTCAGCATAACATAGAAGCTGACAAAATTAACTATACTACAAATTCGTTGGATTTCCTTAAAGTAGCTGAGCACAAAACCCTGTTCTAATTATGAAGGCCCTCACATTACGTCCCAAGATCTTCACATCTCCGATGCTGCACATCCTCAGACCCATCTCCCATCCCGCGAAACCTGCCCCATCCCGCGCAATCACCGGGTTTGGACTTAAGAGTAAGAGGTTCGTTGGACATACAGGGTTTGGATTTAGGACCCATTGCCCAATGGGAGGCACAGGGTTTCTTCCGTGCAGGTTTTGGGATGCAGGATTTAGGGGTGTCGCGTTCAACCGTCAACCCTGAACAAAAGATGAGACCTAAGCCGAACCTGAAAAAGGACACAACGCAAAACACAAAAACAAACCTAAAGCTTTCCGGGGCTCGACTCGGTTGAAGCCCAGGATTGCTTGGTTCGGCTCTTGCGCGGAGCCTTCGGTGCAGAGCGAGGAGGAGAAATCCTCGGAGGCCGTAGTAGCCGAGACCCCATAATGTAGAACCGTTTTTGGCCCACCAGGTGCTGAATTAGGATCCGATAACATCAAAATAGGTCATCCAGAAGAGGTGCTCCATGCTACCATTTTAGGGTATAGTAAAGCGTTTAGTTTTGCGTGTTGGGGTTGTAGGGGTTTTCGGCCTTAGTTTAGAGCTGTGGGCGGACAGGGTTTCACTGCAGGGTTTTTGAAAACACATTAGGTACGGCCCCCACTCAGTACTAGTTGAATAATATTCATAATATAGATATAGTAGGACCTTATGCATAGCCCTATTATAGACTCTTACTGTATGGGAGCTGTACCTAAAAACACAGATCTTCCAACCTGCCTTGTTAAGCCTTATACTTTCCGAGTATGGCACGCGGTGTGGTACGAGATATGATCGCTTGTCAAGGCATATAGGATCATATGAAACTATTGATCATTTTCTCTGCTATTATTGTGGTAAGAATCCTAACTATCCTTATCATTACCATTCGGGTAGGAACAGTGTCCTCATAGCTGCAAAGGAAGCTTGTGCAGGTTGCAAAAGAACTAAGGGAGTCGACCCCCTGCCACGTACCGATGGCGAGAGTTTAACAAAAAAGGTCGAGAAACCCTCAAAAGGAATACAGAAGCGACTTTTCCACGCGATATACCTGGGCTGAAGGCCTAAGCCCGCCTTGCATCTCCGACACAACTCCGATGATATTCTCTCTAGCTTGCCCTGATGTTCGATAATGCTGAAACATTAGGATTAAGTCTAGGACTATTACATCAGCACAAGCAAAGCCGCACCCAAAGACCGAGAGTCTACCAGTCTGTCCCTACTACTGCTGGTCCTACTCCCTCCTTCCGATGACGACGACGTCTAGTACTGCTGCTACTACTACTACTACTACCACTACTGCTACTGCTACTGCTACTGCTACTGCTACTACTACTACTACTACTACTACTACTACTACTACTACTACTACCACTACTATTTCAATTGAACGCTACGCGAGCGTGCTCTGCGCTTTGCGGGCGCCATTGGTCACGTGCACTCGTGAAACTGCTTCTAGCATGCATCGCTCATACCTCTCGAATCAGCTCAAACTTGAAAAACTACAGCTACAAAAGCTTCCTCCTCCGACACCTTGGAGTGAACAGACGCGTCCATCTGTGCACCTGTCACAACAATTAGGCCGTACCTCAGACGAAGCCGACACCTGGAGTATCCGTCTCGTGGCGCCCCACACGGATTACTCATGTTGAAGACAGAAGGCCGTAAGGGTCATATGCCCGTGACCGCATGTACCTGAAAGCAACTCCGATGGAGTGAGGCTGTTGGCAGCTTGGACGTGGGCAGCTCTCTGATGCAGCGATGTGCTGTTTTGAGCAGGGTTAGCTCGCGGTTCACTGGCTTCCGAAGAGATTTGCTAAGCGTCGGAAGAGTTCCGAATTCCCAGAGTCTGTGACATAAGGGATCAAAGAGTCTGTGACATATCGCTACCCTCACTGGTCCTGACCTTTCGGCCACTGCTGGGAGTAACTATGCCAGGACCACTGCTGCCACCAGTCCCAATCGTCTTCTTGAGAGGAGCGTGCCTGCCTGGCCCACGGGGTCGAGGATGAAGAGGAGGGGGCATCGCGCGGTCGCTTGCCCTCTGTGTCAGCCTCTTGCATCTGTGGGCGCTTGTTGGGGGCAGCAGCAGCCAGTTTGGCCATGCGCTTGTCTTCCTCGTGCCCCTTGTCATGCTGAATCCGCATCTTCATGATGGAGTAGGCATTTTTGTCGGGTTTGACCCTGAAGACACGAGCTGGGGGTCCGGCTGATTTGGCCGTCTCATTGTAGACTGCCACGATGGTAGTGGCGATCATGTTGAACTCGACCCACGAGGGAAAGTACTACCACTACTACTACTACTACTACTACTACTACTACTACTACTACTACTACTACTACTACTAGTACCACTACTACCACTACTACCACTACTGCCACTACTACCACTACTACCACTACCACTGCTATGTGATTGCTATTGTTATCATTATCATCATCGTGATTGCTACTACTACTACTACGACGACGACGACTACTACTACTACTACTACCACTACTGCTACTGCTACTGCTACTGCTACTGCTACTACTACTACTACTACTACTACTACCACTACTACTACTACTACTACTACTACTACTACTACTACTACTACTACTACTACTAGTACTATACTACACTACTACCACTACTACCACTACTACTACCACTACTACCACTACTACCACTACTACCACTACTACCACTACTACCACTACTACCACTACTACCACTACTACCACTACCACTGCTATGTGATTGCTATTTTTATCATTATCATCATCGTGATTGCTACTACGACTACTACTACGACTACTACTACTACTACGACGACGACGACTACTACTACTACTAGTACCACTACTACCACTACTACCACTACTACCACTACTACCACTACTACCACTACTACCACTACTACCACTACCACTGCTATGTGATTGCTATTGTTATCATTATCATCATCGTGATTGTTTAAGTTTGGTTGCCGGCAGTATCATCACGCACATCTTGTTTAGTACCAGTGTTATGATTGCTATTGATACGAGACAGACCCTCTTTCGCGAGAAAGGTGGCCGAGTCGCTGTGCGCCGGCTTGGCAGCCTGGAGCTCAGCAGTCTTGTCTTACAGCAAGCCTTGTAGGACCCCTAGAGGAACCCTATTCCACTACTGCCCTATACTATACTCCTCAAGAAAGCAACCCTTTGTTGCAGAACCATGGCATGAATTCCCGAACCCCCCCCAGAGCATGTTGAGAAACATCCTAAACCCTGAACACCCCGAAAAGGGGTTTAGAGGTTAGGGTTCTGCTGCTCAGGTCTCCGTCAACTGGAAGGACGCCCGCAGGGTCATCAGAATGAGTTGGGTTGAGGCTCTAGTTAGACATTATACAATAGTTTGAAAGCCTCAACCCTGAAGCACCAACCCCAAAGACCTCAGGCTCTAAAGCTCTAGAGAAGGCGGCTTGGGGTTTGGCCGGTAGCTCGTTTAAACCGTTTAAACCAAGAGTTTGTAAAGGTCCGGAATTGAGGATGCGGAAGCTCCACTTGGGCCAAAGCCAATGCGGTCTCCAGGGGTTAAAGTTAGGAATGATCCCTAACCCCTATTCCCTTAAATTCCTAAATCCCTACACCCTAAACCCCTAACCCCTAGACCCTTAAATTCCTAAATCCCTTGGTGCTATCGGGCGGTGGGTGTTGCACACAATAGACCTTGATCCCCACAAACTCTTCCTAGAGAGGTCTGGCCAATCAATCAGAGAAAGTCGTATCCCCTAGCTCGTAGTCTGCGTAGAAAGCATCGAACAAGTGTATATGTAGGTCTCTAGACTAGGATGCCCAGTAGTACCCTTATTCCCTTTTTGTAGTCCTGGTTCCTTGTGAAGGTACCCAATACCAAAATGGGAGCCCTTTTTATTCCTAGGTTACTGGGCATCCAAGTAGAGTATGGGAGTTTCCAAAAATAAGGGGACCCTAACATAGTACCCAAAATAGTGGATCCTTATTGTCAGGGCTCCAAATTCAGGTACCCTCAATTTGGGAAACTCCCGTATGCGGTTTTTCTTGGTGCTTTTGAACTCGAGGGACTCCCGGAAGCGGCGCTAACTTCTCAGCATCGGCCTGACATGCAACCCGGGGCCCGGCCCCAATGCGAAGCCTAAGCCCCAAAATATGTAGCATACTAGCCTTTTTATGGGTCTTGGGCCATGATTTTGGCTACTTTTGAGGGTTTAAGCAACGAGGAGGAACCTCCAACACTTCCTCGGGTTTCGTATGCTTCACTTTCACCCAAGATATCAACGAGGGCCTCATTCGAGGGCTTCCTGTCCAGAGGCTCCACGGGTGTGGGGTTTAGGCGGTTCAGATTCAGGATCTGGTGCTGATGTTTAAGAGGCCATGATTTTCAGTTTAGTATCTATAGGGCGTGTGGATTATCTTGAGAAGGCGTCCCGACTCCTTAAGCTCCATACAGCAGGAGCAACGCACCGATCCCGACGACGGTCCGGATGTCTTCCGTGTCGCAGTGCCCCGGCGTCCTTGCAGCTCCTTTATGTTTTGCCCATTGGACAAAATGCCAGACACGAAACGTTTGTCGTATGTGTCGTTCTTCTTCATAGAATTGGTTTTCAGGGTTTAGCGTCTGCGCGTTTAGGGGGTTTCTGTTATGAGCCCCCGGTGACAAATAATAGGGTTTACCCTTTGAACCCTAAGCAAGTGCTTTCTTGTAAGTAGGGGCCACGCAGCCCCTTGTGGAATTCCGGCCAAAGGTGTTCTTGTGGACTGCGTGTATGACGTTGCCAGAGGGCTTAACCGTGTTCCTTGTGCATAAATCTTGGAACGATGAGTACCCTGATCCGAGGGCACCTGGCAGAAACCTATATCCCGTCACGATCTCCAGCTCAGAACGGGGAGTGGGCGGGTGTTCGAGGGTCGCGGAGTCCTGCATAATTAGTTTAGCCTGAATCCGAAGTCCGACAGCCCTCACCCTCAAGCCTAACGCCTGACAGTCTTCCAGTTGAAGTCGCGGGGGCTAGAACTGTGGGAGGAGCTCCTCTTCGCTTGAACTGAAGATCATAAACCCTATGCCCGAAGGCCGAAATCCTAAACTTGGAACCTTCCCAAAGCCCTAAACTCGGACGACTGGCTCCGGGGGAAAACTAAAACCTGAACCGCCTGAACAGCGGAAGGTGCAAGCGACCAGCAAGGCAGGTGTGGGCGTTCGTTTGGCGGGTAGCATGTGCAGGGGCTGGTACAAGCGTGTCATTAATGCAAGAGTTTGGGGTTCAGGGATTTGGGTCGTACGTTTAGGGCTTTACCGTTTTCTGACGGTTCCGCAGTCTCTGCGTCTTCGCAGCCTGAGCATGCAAAGGCCTATGTAGAGTTATATCAAGTCAGCAAAAGGTCTTCCAACCCCAGGGAGACAT